TGATAGGTCTAACCTCAAATGACAAGAAGAGAGCTGAGTGCATCAGGGAACAAACCGTGGTTAAGGTAATCGTAGTTGAAATCGTGAAGAGGAAATGAAACATGGCCCGGGCATGTAGCACGCAGGCAGGATAACCGCTGGTCACTAAGGGTAACTTACTGGATTCCCTGAGAAGGCAAGCGGGTTAGGGGGAGGCAGAAAGTTAGGTTGGCAGATGAGATTAGGAAGCTTGCGAGTGTAAAGTGGCAGCAGCAAGCACAGGACCAACTTGACTGGCGGATCATGGGAGAGGCCTTTGTCCTGCAGGGGACGGAGTCAGACTGATAATGATGATGATGGTCCAGAAGTCTTTCTTTGATTGGTTCAGGGCATAGGAAGAAATGATGCAGGCCGTACAGTAGGACAACTACCGTAATTACTCGAATCTAACGCGCACCTTTTTTCCGGTTAAGCAAGTTCATAAATCGCATGCGCGTTAGAATCGAGTACGAAACAAAAAAAAATGAATAGGGTCATTCTATTGCCATCGACACGTCAAAAATGGCCGCCCCCTATGTGCGTCGGCATGGCCCACGCCTTCTCTAAGAAGATGCCTGCCGGATGAGAAAAAAAAAACAGTTGCCACGCCCTTTCTCTCCTTCATTTTGAAAATGTTCTTGGTCGCTAGCGTCACCTGTGGCGGACGGTGCAACAACGCAACACTTTGCATAGCCTCCAAAACAGTGGTGCACAGTTGAAGGTCTCGAACAACTCTCGACTTACGCGCCCCTATGGGCCGCAGATGAGAAACGCTTGGGCTAGTATCGCCCGTCGCCGTGATGATAGTGTTGGTCGCGAGCGCCACCGCGCGGAGCTTGTTTAAAACTGAAGGCAGGCCAACTCTGCTGGAAGCGCGAGGCATTCCTCGGGCATCTTTCTAGAGGAGGCGTTGGCATGGCGCGTCGGCCATTTCTGCCAATGTGTTTACCATGTGCGGCACTTCGTACGTGTGCTGAGGAGTTCGTCGTATCGTAGTGCATTCACATCGACGGCATGGAAGGGCTGACTCCGAAGACTCGACGAGTGCACCACGATGCTGCTTTCAAAAGAAAAGTAATCGCGTGTGCAGAAACGGACGGAAATCGGGCCGCATCGCGGTCGTTCGGAGTTCCTGAAACGTGCGTGCGGGAATGGCGGAAACAGAAGCAGAAGATTGTGGACTGCAAGGCTTCACGTAAAGGCTTCAATGGACCGCAGCAGGGTCGGTTTCCGAAAATTGAAGAGCTGCTCGCCGAGTATGTGCTTGAACAGCGAGCGGCACAGCGGCCCGTGACGACGGAACTGCTTCAAGTGCGGGCTATGCAGTTAGCCCTGGAAAAAGGGCTAACGCGGAGCCAGTTCAAAGCGAGCAGGTGCTGGCTGAGTAACTTTATGAAAAGGAAAGGATTTTCCCTCCGAAGGCGAACGGGCATATGCCAAAAGTTGCCGGAGGAGTACGAAGAAAAGCTCCTCAGTTTTCAGAGGTTCGTCCTCAACTTGCGGCACAACAATGGCTACCTGCTTGGGCAAATCGGGAATGCCGATCAGACGCCTCTGTATTTCGACATGCCTGGCACCACAACCGTCGAGAAAAAGGGGGCGAAACAAGTTCGCGTGCTGACATCGGGCCACGAAAAAACTAGGGTGACGGCAATGCTCTGTTGCACGTCAGATGGTCACAAGCTTCCCCCGTACCTGATATTTAAGCGGAAAACTCTCCCGAAAGGAGTCGTTTTCCCGAGTGGTGTAATCGTGCGAGCCAACGAGAAAGGTTGGATGACGACGGACCTGGTCGCCGATTGGATCCATCACGTCTGGCGGAAGCGGCCTGGCGCCAGTTCGGGCCTGCGAGCGATGCTCGTGCTCGACGCGTTCAGGTGCCATCTCGACGAGCGGATCAAGAACAAGCTCGCTGCGTGCAATACGGACCTTGCAGTCATACCTGGCGGCATGACGTCCCAACTTCAACCGCTGGATGTCTGCCTGAACAAGCCGTTGAAGGACAAGATGCGGGCGCTTTACACCGACTGGCTGATCAATGAACGACATGATTTCACGCCAGGCAACAGGATGAAGCGCGCCTCTCTGCAAGACTTCGCTGCGTGGGTGAAGGACGCGTGGTGTGCAATACCATCAGCCATGGTGATCAAGGCATTCAAAAAATGTGGCATCTCGAATGCCATGGACGGTACCGAGGATGAAATGCTTTGGGCTGTTGACAGTGATAAGGAGTTGTCTGACAGCGACGAGGACTGACCTATTACGCAACTCGTAACGCCGCCGTAGTGGTCTCAATGTTAGCTACAGGGCTGGCTGTTTGACTGTGTTTTATATTTTGAAACTTTAGTGCATTAAAACCCAAATACTTGTTCTCAATGTGCAAAAGTTGACTCCTACGGACTTTTTTTTTTCTCTCCCGTCGCGGAAAATGGGTGCGCGTTACAATTGATGTCCTACTTTTTTTTTTTTTTCGTCGCGGAAATCGGGTGCGCGTTACAATCGAGGGCGCGTTAGAATCGAGTAAATACGGTACATGGTGAAAAGTGAAACTTTGTGAATGCTTTAGTGAGAGATGTGCATGTCAGTGTTTGTTTCCGAAAGCAACAGGAATGTTGCAAGAGGTTGCAGTCAGTGAGAGAGATGTGACGGTGGCAAAAGCGATTGTGCCATCGTCATCGCCACTTTACAAGGTGAAGCATAAGACGAGACGGGGCTGCGGCGTCCTCTATGGCCGAAATCGTAACGCATTTTCTCTCGTGCCCGCGCCTTGAGCTCTTAGCATGAGCTGCGGGAGCAACGAAGTTATGATGAGTGATGATGGTGCCGCAACAATTTCAAGCGAAGCACTTCGCGAGACACTGAGGCCGAAATCACGGTAACGCGAAGCCACAACAGACGAGCGTGCTGCCCGGCCACTCACCATGATTTCACAGCGAGTGGCCGTGGGGCCATCGATATTTCTAAATTCTCTTGAGTGTTTTGCGAGTATGCGGGTAGTGGGCGCTAACCAAGAATATTCTGTGTGAGAATGACAGCTTATCACATGCCACGACAGTTGTGAAGTATGCATCTTGCATTATGCTCACTAACGTGAGAAACGTGGCTGCTTTCGTGCAAGTTTTCCCGTTTATTTATGGAGACATCGCAGAAGAATGTCCCCCTATGATATCTTTAAATCCTGCTAGATGCACTAATGCGCCGGCCTCGGGCATTCGTGCCACCATAGTTATCAAAGCAACAAGGCGCTGCTGTGTACTAGGGCTCTCAACGTTGCGCGCCCGGTGCACCTCAAGTGGCGCTGCGCACGGCTTTCAAGGCACCCCCTATAGTTCCCGCTATGACTGTGTAATCGAAAAACAAAGAATACAGGCAGTGACACTCAGCCTTGCACACACACACACACACACACACACACACACACACACACACACACACACACACACACACACACAAAAAAAAAAAAAAACGGGTAGAGACTGTCGGAATAAGCCTACGACAACAACCTTGTGCTTCTCTAAGGGCAGTATATTAAACTATTCTTTCCAATGGCAGCATTATTTAGTAGAGGTGGGTGTGGGCAAATTTTATTCTCTACTTCGATAAAGCAAATCCAATGCGCGTCTTTCTCCCGATAAATTTAATGCTAATACTGCCTGTGTGTGAAAACCAAACTGAAACTGCATGTCCAATAGGCTCTCACCAAAAGAGTTAGACACAGTGTTATCGCCGTCACACAATAGTGATGGATCACAAGTCATTCTCACAAGGTTGCATAGAATGCCTTTGTGCTCGAGTGAGCTGTGCGCATCATAATTTGTTGCCTTATGAAGTGTGACTAGTGATGTTAAAATGAACACTGTTATAATGAACGTTGCCATCAAGTGAATTTCGCACGATGAAAATAGCAGCATCGCGCCCTTTTGCGTGCTTAAGCTTGTGACTGAGTGGTGCAAACCAAGGCAGGAGATCAGCCGTACGTCGACCATGAAAAGTTGCCACAGACCGAAAACGTCAAAATATAGAGATCTCGGAAGTAAGCTTTTTGGCTAGCTGAAGCTACTCTGGATGGAGCTTCTCTAAGTAACCACCCTGCATACACATTCAATCAAGGCACATGCAGAAGTGCTTCAACTGCCTGCACGAGAATAAGTTTTCAATTCTAGGAAGACATCCCGTCTCAATCTCTATTTTTCTAATCATCAACCTAGGTGAACGCAAATTCATATTTGGACTTGTTGGTGCTTATCGTTTGATGCAATGAAATGTTGTTGTTTTTTTCATATCTAACGGAATCACGAAGTCTTCATAAGATGCAAAGTTAACGTAAAACTGTATAGTATAACCAATGTTTTTAATGCATTATTTCTATGGGGATTTCGCTGAGACCAAATTGACCCGTAGTAAAAAGTGGGTCGTTGCGAAACCAGTGCACATGTAATCGGAGTTATACTGTAAGTGGATACACCATCCAAAACGTCGATGAAGTGCTTGAGGCCACAGAAATTAGAATGAAGCATTAGATGGAACATATGCAAAATCTTTATAGGTGAGACTGCGATTGATGTGGGTGGAGCTCGTACTGTTCTTGACTTCTGACCGACTGTAGTACGCATATTTTTTTGCAATTTAGGACGTAACCGAGCCCCCCAACAATTGTAGTTACCATCAAATGGCTTCATTAAAGGAGTTTAGTACCTCTCGAGTCAACCCCCATAGAATTAATTGCAAATTCGAGGCCGCATGCTTTGGTACGATGTTTGACCCGCGTGTTAGCACAAGCTTGGGCTACCACAGGTCGGCTGCTACTTCTGGTCATACTGTGAATTGGTTGTGAAGCCCTTTAATAATTATGCTTGTTAGGTTGGACATCTGATTTACCCATTCCTGGGAAGATCATACTAATGAGGTTCCACTATGTTTGAGTGACTGTTTTTGTCTGATTAATTTTGTCAACTACACTGCCTGTTATTCCTCACTTTCAGGACTTCGAAAAACACCTGATGGACCACGCCTGCACGTGAGGACCCCATTGGCGTTTCGTCCTCAGCCTTCTTCAGTACAATCGTGTCGATGAAAATTTTTTTTCTCGTCGCAAGCCCGAATTTCGAGGCTGTGGATCACACGGGTGTCATAGTCAGTATCGAGCTTCAGGGCTGTTAGTCACACGAATGTCGTATTTTTGTCGTGCTTATTTCCCAATGATGTCATTTTTTATACATGCCTTGTAGATAATGCCTTCCTTGTAATTGCTTACCAAAGTCACGATGATGTTGACGCAAGTGTATATAAACATGTTTTTGTAACGCAAGCTCAACACCGCATCAAGCTCCAGCCAACTTCCTAAGATGCCATCTTGTCAGTACACATTGTCTCATGTCATCATTTTCCATCTGTCCTCATGTTTGTTGGTTTCTCAAATTTGTCTTTGTTTTTACAAAAGTGCTACCTAGGTGCCTTGCCTGCTTGGCACACAGACCCCCGCCAGAGTCGCATCACATTGTGTTGAGTTGCTCATTGTTTTTGGGTCCAAATTCTTGGCCCTTGTTTCAGTGTTGCTGCAAGGCTGTTTGTTTATTTCATTTGTTGGTGTTTTGTGTTCTTGTTGTACTTTAACTTTGGTATGCAATTTTTTTTTTTACACATAGTACTGGGAGCTATATTCTCAGTGATTCGCTTTCACATGATGTGGCATCTGCGGCAATGGTTCCTCACTGGAGAAGAGCCGAGCATTCTGGCTGCTGGTTCTTCTGAGCATTTATTTCTTTGAGGGTGCCCCTGGAGGTGAATGACTGAAAGTGCTGCTTCCGTGCACAATGCATTGCTCATTCATCTTAGCCTGCCTTGTCAGAAATTTAGAGAGGCCAGAATAAAGAGTGCTGTTGAGTTGGATTGTTAGTGTTGCTCCCTAAATCTTTCTTGCTCTTACTTTCTCTCTCTGCACGTGAGTGTGCTTGGTCAGAATATGACTCATTTCAACATGCAGAGGGATATTGCTGTAATGCACCTGCGGCACTGCTGCTAGGTGGCCAGGAAAATGAAGCCAGCCACATTCCAGTGAAAGTGGGTATTAAGGGCCGAGAGGGCAAGGATGCAGGAAATATTCGTTATGTATGGACATCTGTTTGTTTTCGGCAACAAAAAATAACAATGTTACTGTCACACTAAAAAGATACAAGGGCATTTATAAAGCAAAAAAAGTGTACATTTAAGGGCTCAAGTTCTTGGTTAGGCACAATATAAATGAGATATCTCAGACAGTCATGCCAAGGAAAGTATAGGGAATGTTATTAGAAGTATTTGTGATGTAAATGTGGACAAAGAATATGAGACGAAGAGATAACGCTGTGGACAGGGACCGAACCGCGACCTTCGAGTAACATGTCCGATGCTACGAACTGAGCAATCACGAGGACTGTCCTCCAGTCCTGTTTATGGGGTATACACGTATATGAGTCTTGAAGGTACAATAAAGGCAACTATTAAGTCGACGTTGATTGTTGAAATAGCGGTCCAGAAACCTCGTAGGGTTACTTTTGTGTCAAGAAAGTGCTTATTTTTAAATATAATCACGTTTTAGTGCTCCACATCGAGTTAGCGCACTTCGAATTACCCGCCTCAAGCAGACGTCTCCCGTCACTGTTGCCGCGCACTAGTAGCAGCAGAACGAAAGCAGCGGGAGCCACAGCAGCAACAACGGTCATTAAACAATTTCCTGCCATTGGCTTCGAGATGGCAGACGTGCTTGGTTCAACTGGGACCCGATAGATGGCACAACCTGTCCAGTTTAGCTAAACAAAAATTGAACTTTTGAACCACTCTCACCCTTCCCCACAGTAACGTCGGGTGGTACTGAAATGCGAAGCATTTCTTAGCGTACTTCGGCAACTTTGAGCGTATCTATCTCTATCTAGCCACCATCGACATTTAGCTCTCCTGGCCATTTCAACAATGGTACTGATATCAAAATTGGTATAGCATAACATGGTTGTATGACAAGCATAAGTTAGTAGTCAAAACATGAAAATCATGACATGTATGTCATGATTTACATTTCATGGTCTTGCTGCTCTTGCGGTACATGACATATTGCAAAATTGGTATAGTATGACATGACTGCATGGCGCACACGAGTGACAGACCCTGATGTCGAAATCCTGACATGCATGTCATGCAAGTCATGACTACACGCCATGCTCATGGTGCACTCGCAGTCGTTTCACTAGCTTTACATATTCAAAATTTGATATTACAGGACGAGATTGGATGATTATAAAGGTATATGACTGGTGCAAACTTGATAATCATGACAAGCCTGTCATATAAGAGCATGACAACATACTGCGCTCATGATGCACTCATGGCCATTTCGCTAGCTTCACATATACCAAATTTGGTATTACGTGACGTGAATGAACGGTGAAGGTAAATGACAGGTTCAAACATGATAATCATGATATGCATGTCACGTAAATTATGACTACATGCTACGCTCATTACACGCTCGCAGCAGTTTCGCTAGCTCCACTTATACCAAATTTGGTATCAGGTGACGTGAATAGACGATGGTGAATGACACGTCCAAATATGATAATCATAATGTGCGTGTCATACGTAAACATGACTACATGCTATGGATATAGCGTGCTGGAGGCCGCTTCGCGAGCTCCATATGTACGGAATTGGGTATTACGTGGGGTGAATGGACGACGAAAGTATGTGACTGGTGCAAACATGATAATCATGACATGCCTGTCATGTAAGAGCATGACAACATATTACGCTCATAATGCGCTCATTTCCGTTTTGCTTGCTTCACATATACCGAATTTGGTATTACGTGATGTGAATGGACGGCGAAGGGAAATGACACGTGAACATGGTAATCATAACATGCGTGTCAATGAAAACATGCTACGCTCATAGCGCGCTCGCAGCTGTTTCCCTAGCTCCACTTATACCAAATGTGGTATCAGGTGAAGTGAATAGACGATAAAGGTAAATTACACGTCCAAACATGATAATCATGATATGCATGTCTTAGGTGAAACACTACACGCCAGGCTCATAGCGTACTCACGGCCGTCTCTCTAGCTCCACTTATACCAAATATGGTATCAGGTGACGTGAATAAACGACGAAGGTGAATGACACGTCCAAATATAATCATGACATGCGTGTCATGCAAAACATGACCACATGCCACGCTCGTAGTGCAATCGCGATCGTTTCGCTAGCCTCGCATATACGAAATTTGGTCCTACGTGGCGTGAATAGACGGCGAAGGTATATGACTGCTGCAAACATGATAATCATGACACGCCTGTCATGTAAAAGCATGACAAAATACCACGTTCATGATGAGCTCACGGCTGTTTTGCTAGCTTCTCATATATTGAATGTGGTATTACGTGTAGTGAATGAACGGCGAAGGTAAATGACACGTCCAAACATGATAATCATGACATACTTGTCAATGAAGACGTGACTACATGCTACGTTCATAGCGTGGTCGCAACCGTTTTGCTAGCTCGACGTGTACCAAATTTGGTATCGCATAATCTGAATAGGCGACAAGGTAAATGACCTGTCCAAACAAGACAATCATGACATGCAAGTCGTGACATGTAAATCGTGACATTTATATCCGCCTCCCAACGTTGCGCTGACTTTAAAATGACAATCAACCTTCCTCATTCGTGCTTCGCATATCATCGATTCCCACTGTACGTAATATCTGCAATTTTTTTTTCCATGAATCAAACACAAACGAACAAGCAGCATTTTATTATGCTTCTTGATGCATGGGAGGTTCTTTATTAATGTAATTAATTGTAGGCTGTAACTCTGACATCATGGGCATCATTTTTCAAATAGCCTAATGTGATGCATGTGTTCTCGTGCACTTACCTTAATTCCTTGGTAAGCAGGGCACTGCTGTTGATAATATTGTTACATAAAAATGACACGAGGTGTGTCTATTTAAAATCTATATTCAAAATGATGCGTGTGGCGTCGACTAAGATGGAAGCAGCACGCACAATCGACAGACCACTTCCTCGTTGTCGTCTTCTGACCGCTGATACGTCAGCTACGTAGCATTACCCCCGGCGGTAAAAGCGCCGTCTCGGTGCACATTAACTACGGTCTTCACTAGGCAGGTGGTAAGGTTTTAGCCTGCTGACGTGCACAACATCACTGGGTGTGGTTGCAGGCAGGCTTGTGGTCTCAGATGCAGGAATGATCTCATAGGTGACGTCGGTTACCTGGCGGATGATACGGTAAGGACCCATGTAGCGAGACAATAACTTCTCTGATAAGCCAACTCGACGAACTGGGCACCACAGGATAACAAGAGAACCGGGTGAGAAGTGAACGTCGGCATGCCGGCTGTCGTAGATGTCTTTCTGGGTGGCTTGCGAAGCCGAAAGTCTAGAGCGGACGATCTGACGTGCGTGGTCGGCACGAGCAATAGCGTCGCGTGCATATTCGGTTGACGGTGTTGTAGTGGTTGGAAGTAAGGTGTCGAGTGGTAACGTCGGATCACGGCCATAAAGCAAATAAAAGGGTGAATAACCAGTGGTGTCGTGGCGCGAAGAATTGTACGCGAAGGTCACGTGAGGTAGCGCCAGGTCCCAGTCATGGTGGTCGGAGGACACATACATCGCAAGCATGTCCGTTAGGGTCCGATTTAGCCGTTCGGTAAGGCCATTTGTTTGGGGATGGTAGGAAGTGGTCAGCTTGTGGTGCGTCGAGGAAGAGCGCAGAAGATCGTCGATCACACGGGACAAAAATGCGCGGCCACGACCCGTGAGTACTTGGCGAGGAGCGCCATGGTGTAGGATGACGTCGTGGAGCAAAAAGTCCGCAACGTCAGTAGTGGTGCTGGTGGTGAGCGCTCGAGTGATGGCATACCTAGTCGCATAGTCTATAGCAACAGCGACCCACTTGTTGCCCGATTTCGACTCGGGAAAAGGACCGAGAAGATCTATACCAACACGGAAGAAAGGTTCGGTTGGGATGGAGATCGGTTGAAGAAGTCCAGCCGGGGGCGCAGTAGGTCGCTTGCTACGTTGACATTTATCGCAGGAGGACACGTAACGGCGAACGGAGCGGGCGAGACCGCGCCAAAAGAAGCGGCGACGCACGTGGTCGTACGTCCGAGATACACCCAGATGACCAGCAGTTGATTCATCGTGAAGCTCGTGCAGCACGGTTGAACGCAAATGTTTCGGCACGATAAGAAGGAGCTCAGGGCCATCTGGCTGGAGGCTACGACGGTACAGCGTGCCATTCAGGAGGACGTACATGCGAGGTGACGTGTCGTTCGGAGCAGATTCGAGACGGTCAATAAGTTGTCGCAGAGAAGCATCACGACGTTGTTCATCACCAATCTGAAGAAACTGGGACATTGACATGACGCTGAGGCTAGGCTCGATGTCTGGTTCGTCGGGCTGATCAACAGGGTAGCGGGATAAGCAATCAGCGTCCAGATGGAGACGTCCAGACTTATAAGCAACCGAGTAGAAATACTCCTGTAGGCGTAATTCCCAACGACCAAGTCGTCCAGTGGGGTCCTTCAGAGAAGAAAGCCAACACAACGCGTGATGATCTGTGATGACACGGAAAGGGCGGCCATACAAGTAAGGACGGAATTTCGAAACCGCCCAAACAAGAGCGAGACATATAACAGAACGGGAATATTCCCGTTCTGTTATAGAATAATTGCGCTCAGACTTAGAAAGCAGACGGCTTGCGTACGCGATTACACGGTCGTTGCCCCGCTGAATTTGCGCCAAAACCGCACCGATTCCGTGACCACTCGCGTCTGTTCGCACTTCTGTGGGAGCATCGGTGTCGAAATGTGAAAGAATAGGAGGTGTCGTTAGAGCG